CGAAGATAGTGATAGCGAAACCGAAGATTTAAGGTTAAGTAGTAGCTCAGATTCCGATTCCGAACTTTCAGGATTTGATCCTATGTGAAACTTCATAAATCTTTAAAATATTGTCAACTGTATCTACTACGATATTAGTTTTCTGGCCTTACTTGTCATTTGATTGTTTATTAATTGAAATTATTAATAATCAAAAATACAATGAGTACCAATCAATTTCAGTCTTATAGTTACATACTTATTTTATGGAATAAATTGCTTTGGTTTCCTTATTTCTATGTTTAAATCATTTATATAAATAATCACATCAATCCGATTTTTAACCTTTCTTTGGTAGCGAGCAGGTGTGGAAACATAAAACTATTTCTGTAAAACTAATGTGTTATGCAATTTTAAAAATATTGAAAAAGTAGTATATACGTATAACACTTGTTTTTTTGATATAAATTTTTGAATTTTTAATTGTATTGTATATCCTAATGATATAGATTTGTTAATTGTATATTATATATACTCTCAAACTCAACTTTATAATGCACATAAACTCAACCCATTGAACAAATTTTTTGTAGGAGTTATCGAGCCACACGAAATATAACAGACAATAGATAGCTTAAGGTCGGGTGCTCGTGAAATTGATGATCTAACGCTGAAAATGATAGAACTTGTAACGTTAATGAAGTTACAAAATTTAGAATATTGGGCCCACAAAAAGATATTTAAAGATTTGACACATGCCAACAATGTCGATTAAAACAAGCAGGCTTAACAAAATACGTACTCCATTATTGAAATTATTCCATTAATTTAACACTCAAACTGTACTACTCGAGATTACATGGCACGTATTGTACGTGCCATCTCTTTTGCTACGAATGCGTTCTCCTTCTCTCGTGTGCGCATATCCCAGCAAATCCTCATATCTCTTCCTACACTTGACGAGCTGTACTTATCTTACTTGTGAGTCATATAATGCAAAAAGTGACACTGAAACCCATAAGTAGGTCTCCAATGCGGTTCTATCGATCTCTTTGTCGAATCTCGACTGATTTTTCTGATACAAAGGTCCAGTGGCACGCAGTAGACATGAGGAATGCTCTGTCAATCGTTCAAGGCAGGACGGTTTTCCCATTGTATGTTGCATAACGCTGAAACGATCGCAACATTAATAACCACCCGCAATAACATCCCAATGTTTTCTCTCGGACAAAATGAACAAAAAAGACGCGCCGGCGCTCATATTTTATACAGACGAAAGTTTATTTGGAGATTCTGCTTTGGACTGACGTCTCCGGATTTATCTATTTTTTTACAAGGAAGCGCATTTCGAAACTAAAGCGAAGTGAAGGGACATGAAGGATAGATACATTATTATTATCTTTTTCTTTTTTTTAATTCCACTATGTGGTTTGTTTCATATTAAGTCGTCTTGAATCAGCAAACACCGATGAAATTAGTGAGCCTCAATCAGATTTACAATACTGACGATAGTGTACATGATGATACATATCATGTTCATCAGGTTACTTCAGTCAGATTCATATGCATCACAAAACTAAATTTTGTTCCCTCAAAATCTAAAAGCTAACCAACAAAAGATATTCATATATGATACAGGACAAACTCGATTTTAGTATAAACTAGTTTTTCCTAGGCCAAATCAATTTATCCTAAGAGTGATAGGATGAACTAGTCTATACTGAAATAAATTAATTATGATTAGGAAAAACTGAATTGTCCTAGTCTAAACTGCTTCGTACCGAGATTTAACTAGTCTGAACTCCTTAAAAGGTAGCTGGGTGGCTTTGGTTCGTTTGGCATGGTATCTTAAAAAAATAAGTAAACATGTTTGTAATAATAGTATTTTCTACAATCGGAAGTAAAAACATTACTTTTGTGAAGAGACTGTATGTAGACTAGGACAGATCAGTTTAGACTAGGATAAACTAGTTCATCCTATCGCTCTTCGGATACATTGATTTGGCCAAGGAAAAACTAGTTTATCCTAAAATCGAGTTCGTCCGGTAACATACACTCACACCATTTTTTCAATAACGGTGGATGGGCATACGCCGCTTTGTAGCACATTCACCATAATGAAACTGGACATTTTTTGTGGAACTTGAAACCAACCATTAAATTATTGTTCTACATGAAACTATGTTTTGTCTTTTATTTTAATTTGTCATACTTTTAAAGATTCTGCGAAAAACCTCTGTTGAAGTTAGACTCAAAGACGATGAATTAAGCTTTATTCTATGACAAACTAGTGCTTAATACTAGAGTGTTTTGTTTCCTTGAGCATCTTTGAAAAAAGTCGTTATGCTCTACGTGCCTAATGTAACTCATCCTCGTATCTTAAGGTGAGTATGTCGCTACCCATCTACCCATTGAAGTACATGGTGTTTCAAAATTGTGCAGGCAGTATCAGTGAACGAAGATGGTAACATTATGCTTGCTGCAGCTCTATATTCGACAGAGCTAGAACAAGGAGTTGAGCTTATTTTGGTGCAGTGAGCAGTAGTGTTTCCATTTCCACCTCCTCCGATGGCACCATAGTATTCGCATAGTGTTATACAATGCTTTCCAAATAGTCATGGATCAAGTTTGCAAACTAAAATATATGGTAATGAAATCGACGCATAAATAATACTATATTTTCATATTAAAGAGGCAGTCGAACATTTCAAGAAGGCTGCAGCTCCTTATGTGTACTTCATAACCCCAGAATATAAAATCATCACCTTCCAAAATGGTTAGCTGGCAGGCCATCAAAGTTGAGCGTTTTTGTATATTGAGTCGCTTATAACTCTATCTATGTATCATATCACCTATCATTCAAATACGATATGCGACAATTTCACCACCCTAGAACTTGCTCGTTCAAAAAATAAGTACAGGGGACCTTTCTGAAAAGCACTAATGCTCTTGGGGTTGATTGGATTGGATATACATATATACAGGGTGACTTTGAAGTTGAGTCATTAATTTTCAGATAATAATTGTAGAAGGAAGATAAACCAAAATATGTGTGTAAACATAAAAAAAAAATAAAGAAAATGTCACCTTGTTTTATAAAGTATCCTCCCGACAAGTATTTCAGTGCGGACCTGTATTTGATCGTGCGGTCTTGGAGCACCGGCATGCCCTCCCCTGTGAGGTCTTAAGTCACCTGATTCACGAGCCCTTTGTACTACATTCAGCATTTTCGTAAACATGTCCCATTTTTTATTTCGACTGAGCCACGCAACAAACACCACTATTCACTCACGCGTTACCGACTGACACATCGACTGAATACAACTGAATAAAATTGTACATTGTAGTAAAAACGTCGTTTCAAATTCTTTCGCTTTTCTGTTTTCGATGCTATGAACGGATAAGGCGGATTATATCCGTTGTTGCCAAACACGAGCACATAATATTATTATTGAGACGGGGCTGTACTCAAACTTCTAAAGGGCTATAACTTTGTTACTTTAATTTTACCAGAAAAATGTTAAAGGAAAAAAACATTTCTTTTGATCAGATCTACTCACTGTTAAAATAAATGACTCAACTTCGAAGTCACCCTGTATATATATATATATATATATATATATATATATATAGCTGGTTTTCTATTTTTGTTGTAAGCTGCCAGCACTCAGCCCCATAAGTAGTTATTGGCTCCACGATACTGTGATAAACTTGAACTTTCGTGTTAATGCTAATTTTGGAAGACAATAAAATTGAATTCATTCTCTGGGTTGCCATTTTACCCTGAACAATCCTGCTTTTTATATCTTTTTTTGTTGAACCATCAGACGTTATATAGGTTCCCAAATATTTGAACTCCTGGGTTTGTCTTGTAACTACATTGTCCACCTGAAGATCAGTGGGCTTGTCTCCAATAACGAGCTATTCCGTTTTAGTAACATCGATGTTCAACCCCCATTCACAGTATTCATGAATAAGTTTTCTAGACATATATCTCGTGTCTTTCTCATCATTTGCTATCAATACTTGGTCATCCGAAAAAGGTAGTGTATACAAGCAGGTTTTTCCGATTTCAATGCCCATTATATGATACTTTTGCATCCAGTTGCTCAAGGCTTTCTGTACATATATTTTGAAAAGGTTTGGGGAAAGACAGCACCCTTATTGCAGACCCTTGGTAACTTTAAACGGTGCAGATATACTGTTATTTAGTTTGAGTACGCACTCTGTACTGCTATATAACGTTTCAATGGCTCTGATATGATACTTATTCATATTCATTTCATGTAAGACTTCGAACAATTTATCACGTTATCGTAGGCCCTCTCTAAATCAATAAACATTAGATGTGCGCTAAAATTCCTTTCTGATGTTCTTTCGATTAACTGCTGTAATATACTGATATTATCTAAGCTGGATCTCCCAGCTCTAAAACCTGATTGCTCCTCAATGTCCATGAAATCATGCTCAATTCTTGTTTTTAGTATTCGGCCATACACTGTCCCTATAGAACTGGTTACTGTTATGCCTGTATAGTTAAAACATACATTCTCACTACCCTTTTGTGTATAGAACTGATATATAGTATTTTCCAATCATTTGGAATGTCGTCACTATCCAAAAGGCATTTATTGAATACCTTCAGCAATTTCCCCAGCATTATAACCGGTGCATATTTCACCAGCTCTATAGGAATACCTCCAGGCCCAGCAGCTTTCCCGAACTTTTAAAGCCTCTTTCAGTTCTGTTGCACCGATTTCCTCAGTTGTATCTCCAACACTTTCATCTTCCGCTATTGATCTATCCTTAAAATGAGGTCTTTCTTCTGTCAGTAATTTTTGGTAGTAGCGCTCCCATTCACTGATTATTATGAACATGAAATTGCTACACTACTCTTATTGTCCTTTCTGAGATGGATTTCCATGCCTCCGATACTTTCGTGTCCCCCAATCGATATCGATTGATTTGCTCGCATTTTTCCTCCCAAAAGTCGTTATTCCTTCTTCTCACGTCCCTTTTACCTTCTCTATTCAACCTGACGTACTGCTTTCTATCTTCATAGTCTCGCATTGCTAGCCACTTATGATATGTTTCTTTCTTATATTTGACTTTATCTTCCGACTCTTCTGTCCACCAATCTTTATTTATTCGATTGCTTCTTTCAGTTTCTCCTAGAACCTCTCTTGAGGCTTCATGAATACACTCTTTACGTTGTTCATATACGTGTTCTGCTGTTCCTTCTTCTAATTTCTGAATTTATTAACCAGTCGCAACTTATATAAAAATTGGACAGATTCCTGGTTCAAACTCCGCAAATTGTATTTGGGAAGCTCTAAGTTTTGTTCTGTGTTACCTGTGCTTATGTCTTGCTTTTGTTTTCGAAAACGTCTGATGCAAGCTAGCACTTTCGCCTTCACCATGAAATGACCAGAACCGCATTCAGGTCCTCTATGCACTTTCACATCTCTGATTTTTAATAGAGAATTCTCTCGTTAGATTATCTATGATACCTGTTTGTTTTCGTTTTGGTTGACTCCATATATATTTATGTATCATTTTGCGAGGAAAATACTTATTCATAATCCTTAATGAGAATGTCTCTCATGTAATGGACAAAAGTATATAGACAAATTAATATTGTGCTGTATTTCTTTTTTAACTTTGTTTTATTAATACACAAACCTGTATACATAATTCGTTATAGCATAATACTCACTTATACATAAATAAATTCATTAGACTCCCTTCAATAGAAAAATAATTGAAAAAAACTGGAACTATGAAGGACAAAAATATATAGACAAAGTAATTAGAGAAAAAAGAAGCAAAGTTCATTGAATTATAGAAACCCAACCATGTTTGTGTTAATATTTTGTAGCATAACCATTATTATCAATCACTGCCTGGCATCGTCTCGGCATAGATTGTAGAATTTTCTTGATATAAGATTCATCAGTCTGTCTCCACTTTTGCTCGAAAGCGGCAAGAAGTTCATCCTTGTTTGAATAATCTTTATCTCGTATATATTTGCTTATCTAAGTATTCCCATAGATTTTCAATGGAGTTTATATCGGGAGACTGTGAAGGCCATTTGAGAACTGGTATTTTTCCATCCAGAAAGAATTTCTTTGCGAGATTTGAAGTGTGCTTCTGGTCATTATCTTGCTGGAAGATTCATTTTAAGGGCATATTGTCTTCCATACAGGGTAACACGACATGCTTTGGTATATATATGTATACAAACTTATCCATAATGCTATCTATTCTATGCAAAGGTTACATTACAAAGCCCGAAAAGCACCCCCAAACTATAACAGACCCGCCTCCATGTTTGACAGTGGGCAACGTGTACTTGGGGTCAAACTTTGTCCACTAAGACGTCTAACGTAATGCACACCATCTGATCCAAATATATTGAACTTCGATTCGTCACTGAAACATCCCCTGTTCCAGTCACAGATGCTCCAATCAAGATGCAACCGTGCAAATTGTAATTGGTCCTTACGGTTTTGCCTCGAGATTAGTGGCTTTTTACTCGGGCGATGTGCAAATAACTTCAAATCATTTAATCTTCTACTTATAGTTTTCGTAGAAACTTTGGCAATTCCTTTTGTCTCGATTCGGCTTCTATTTGTCTTGGGGTTTTAAACGGATCATTGGAAGAAATTACTTTTATTAATCTAACTGATCTAGCATTTAGTTTTCTAGGCCGATCACTTCTCTTAGACGCTCCAAGATACCTTTTTGTTTATATTTGTTCAATATCGCCCAGCCTGCTTTATGCTTCAGCTTCAAATTTTTGGCAATGTCGACTTGACGTTGACCATCTTTATATAAGTGAATGATCTTAGTTTTCACATCGAAAGACATTTCTGTACCACGCGGCATGGTCGCAAATCACTCGACTTATTCCACAATACTTGATGAACACAAACTAATCCTCTTCCGACACGAATCTGTACTAAACTAATGTTGAAAAGAATTTGTATACATATTTTTGTCCCTCATAAAAAAGTGCTTATATTCAGACTTGTATTATGTTCATTGCAGATAATGTAAAAACAAGGAATTTAGTTTTTCTAACAACGCATGTGTTTATGGAGCAATGAAGTATGAATTCGTTTTCTAAAGGTATTAAGGTAAATATTCATATTTGTCTATATATTTTTGTCCAAAACGGTATGTCAATTAATTTTTGGCCACTGTCGTTGAGTGCCTCTTCAACATATCTTCCAACAACTGCTCTCTCCATAAAACGAGCGTTCAAGTCACCAAGGGTAGAGATTTCTTTCTTTGGATTGATGTTTGTCAGAGCTTGTGTAAAACTTTTCTTTGATGAAAACCGTCATCTGTCGGAGCGTAAACTACCACAATGACAATGTCATATCCATTTTTCTTCAGTTCTAACGTCACCTGATGGATAAATATATGCTTACCGTTTTGTAGAACATGCATGCGTGCCTGTCCTCGTCCTCTGCAGATGGGCAGTCGACAAATCCGTCGCAGAGAACATGGTCGTCGATGCAGTGGTACCGGCCTTGCCGGTCAGGCGTCGGACACGCGAATCGCTCCATGCCGTCGTCAGCTGGCGGACATTCTGAAAAAAAAAACAGATTCAAGACGTCGTTGAACACGCTTACGTTCTCCACAGTTTCCATTTTGTTATTGAATTGAATAGATACCCTGTATCTCGCAAACTATCAACTTTTGGACTAAGGTATGTTTAGGTCAATTCACATATTTTGGCTGTAGTATCTCCAGTTTCGAGATTTCCCAACTGCAGACACATTTACATCAGTTTCTTAGCGTCCCATTATTTTTTTTCGAAATTCGCAAGGGATTTCAATAAGAAATCGAAGTGAGTAAGTTTCATGAGAAAGGTGAACCTAGCTTGACAACACATAATAGAGGACAAAGATTTAACATATGATGCGAGGTGCACGTGTGCTCCACTACGGCGTGGTAGATGTGATGCTACTATTAACACTTGGCAAATAATGGGAGTCCGAGAACGCAAAGCCAATGAGACTAGGGAAGGGGAAGTGGCCGGTTTATGGAACATTCCTATGCAACCAGCCTCACTACACACGTGACAAGTGAATATACGTCTGGATCAGGATCTGCCACGCCTATTGTCTAACCGGAAGAGTTATTGCGTAGAAAACCTGTATAGTGTCAAAAAAAAAATCGGTAAATTGTCAAATTGAGCACCAGGTAGCCGCTAGTGTGCCGCTAGTTTATTCCGCGCCTACTACAAATGAGCATGAAGTGAATGCCAGCTAGTTCAACGGTGACATTTTATAGGAAAACCTACATAATATCAAAATAACCTACATAATGTCATGAAAAATACGTGTTATCGCCGACCGCACTATTTGGATCACTAGAAGTCTGATACCGACTAATCCAGGAGATTTAAAGTTACTGGACTGACTCCTGTCATGGCATGTCGAATACGAATTGAAACAGCGAAGAAAACACTCCCAGGTAGAGAGCTCGACAATATTGACTTGTCGGCCTTTCATGCCAGAAGACCCCTCAGTCGTTCGCCAGCGGGGTTACTTAGTCACAGTTGCGAATTTAGGACGATGCCTAGAGGGTCGCAGCGGTTTACAAGAATCATGTCCTTCTCGGAGAGGGCCCTGAGGCGGTTGGCTCGCTTGTTTACCGCGTGTAGCCGGCCTTGACTTTATGAAGTTGGTAGAGAGATCTCGAATCCTCGTCAAGCCTAGCTTCCATCAGTCAGGTAGATGGCAGAGTAGCATGAGAAAATACGTGGTGAAGTGATGGAAAATACTCTAGCTAACTATTATAGGATGGTAGTATATTCTTCCTCCTTCACCTGCATATACTTTTAGGGACATATTTTAAAATAATAGACCAATTACGTGCTAGAAACTGACTCTGTACGCTAACTAGTATCACACACAATATACACCTCTAAATTATGCACCATGCAGAACATGCAATTTTGTGGAACCATTACGCAAATTACCTGGAATATCTAGTTTTTCAACAAACAAGATCAATCGCTATGCGAAATGCTGATAGCTGTGCGATTTTTAGTTATGCAAACAGCAAAGTGTTAACCAAAACACGTTTTTAAAAGCTGCAGCCGTTTTGATTCTCATTCAGTACAATAACGTATGTCCTAAAAGCTTTGGCACAAAATGTTTATCGGATTTTTTTAACGAAGAGATTTACTTAAACACCAACTAGTTACCATAAGTCACATATGAATCCTTAACTAGGCTGTACTATCGAATCATGTGTAGTGGCCCATTCTGCTCTACCAAACGCAACTTTCTTTGAATGTCTCTCATGAGGTCCTGAACGGAATTCAGTTCAATTTCTGTCAGTTTTTCGCAAATTCGCTGTCTTAATTGTTCTTCATCTTGGGCTTCCCAGCCTCCATGATAAACCTTCACAGACAGTGAAGGTCAAAAATCCTTTATTGGACGAGGCTGCGGCAAGTTTGAAGGATTATCGTTTTTGGGAACAAAAAGTATGTTGTGATCTCGAAGCCAGTTTTGGGCATCTCTTGAGTAATGGCATGATGCTAGGACTGGCCAAAACATGATGTGGTCATCAGCATGATGTTCGTGGACAAATTGAAGCAATTTGAAAAGGCAGTTATCAATATAGCTCTGACTATTCAAAGCTTCACCCCTCACTCTTTCCACAAAAGGTTGAAAATACCCCTGTTAGAAATTGCGTACCAGATAAGGATTTTTCCCATTCGTAGTCCATTTACGCCCAGACAAAACACAATATGCCCAAAAGCGAGATTCTTCAGGTCCGTATTTTCCTCAATTGTCTTGAAATAATTTAACAAAGTCAATGATTATTTTTATGGAAAGGAGTGCACATACTTTTCACAATTCTATATTTGCTGGAAGTACTTGAATCATCTCGCGAATGGTTAATATTATTTATTACATTATTACAGGCATAAACGGTCTTATTTTGGTTTTTAGCTATTTCGTCAGTAACATTAAGATTGTCTTCATATTTGTGCTTCCTGACTAGATGGAGTTCTGCTTTGACCATATTTTTATTGAAACTAATGCCTTCTGATAGGAGCCATTGCTGAATTTCTACCTTTCTTGTGGACATTGTGGGAACTTTTTCTAGTTTTCTAGCATTATCAAGTACAATGACGGCATAGTCGTCAAACTTTGGGAGCGTTTCTTCAAACCATCGTTCAAATGAACTTCCGTCCATTTCTTCATGGTAGTCGATCGTCTTCTTTGACTCAATTGCCCATAGGGCAGTGGGCACAACGCCATCTTCACTGACAACGTGACAGATAACAAATCGTTTTCCTTTTCCTGGAAATAAAACTATTCATATAGTATTCAAGAAAACTAATAATAATACAAGCAGAGTATCCAACCGGTGTTGGTTCCAAATCTACCAGATATGAATGTTAATTCCAGGATGCTGTAAAATTTTGCTCTTACAAACGTTAAGGACAAAAGAGGAAGCTTGGCTGAAGGCAGCCTTAGGAGAAATATTCTCAGTTTCATCTGCTGTATCCGTAGACGACATCCTAACGTATAAGCACAGTCTATGTATTTACTGAATATGAACAGTAACTGCCGGCATCGGCGTGCCGGCGATATCCCGAGCCTGAGTTCTATCCTGTCGAATCTTGCACTCGTTCGTAGTTTTATGGCCGAATCTCCAATAGCTATTGAAACGCTTAGGCGGATGCCGCTTTGCCGGGGTGCATCTTTGTTATGCCGGGGGCGTAAATGGACTACGGACACTTAGGCTTATTTCGATAATTAAGACCATTCCTCATCAATTCAAACGATATCATACTCTTAGAAGATCTACATTGACAAGCCGGTCTCCTTGTTGTCACTCCAATCTAATTTTTTGCTCTTTTCACCAACCTCTCTGACCTACGTGCAGAAAATGCACGTGCTCTTCCACTTTTTGGGAGATTCAGACATCGTATTCCCTGCTCGCACTCCTTTTCTTATTTCTAATGTATGCATCTTAAATCGAAAACTTCAAAATAAATAAATGCCAATTGACAGTAAGTAAACAAACTTCTGTTTCCAAAGGCAATTCGATATTATTTTGCGTTTTTACAAAATTAAAGGCAATGCATTTTTTGAAAATTGTAGGATATACATTATGTACCACAAATTAACTCTCGAGAACCTCGGTTCGTGATATTGTGAGGAATTATATATTGTTTTACTACTAACATGTTGAATCGCCATTATTCACCACACTCCAATAAGGCCTAAGAATAAGTTAAGTACAGCTGTTTCCCTGGTGAATAGTAATAAAAGAAACTAGGCAAATAATAAATGTGTGTCTTTATGAAGATATTCTTAGGCTCGTTGGGCACATAATTGCCACTGACATTAAACCCTTTATTCATCTTTGAATATTACTAATAATTATTATAAGCTACTGGTAAATAGAGCCTACTTTATGATTGAAACTATTTTGTTGATTGTATTATTTTTGACAGCTCGAAAGTTTCAGGCTCATGATAAATCAGAACATTAGTAAATGAGTGGTAAACGAATGAGGTTTTGTCTTTCTCCTATGCACAGTTCTGTGATGCAGACATTGCGTTACATTTATTTGACAAAGTTGCGGAAGATAAGGAAAATATCTGATACGCTATATTTCGCACATTATTGCGTTATGCTCGACCAATACTGGCATATGTACTTTTCCAACAAGGAGCACGGTATGTATAGCACAAATACCTTATATTAAAAACAACGTATTTCTTCCTAAGAAGTCGTGAATTATTTTTTATGCTACAACATAATCGAAATTAAAATCAGTTACTGACTTGAATTTGGACGTCACTGAACCTTTTCAGAGAGATTCAGGAATCTCAGGCAACAAACTATAAACTCTCCGTCTGTAATAAGAACGTGAGATGAAATTAGATTTGGATCAAGTTGTATTTCTTGAGTGTACAAATGCAGTTATCGGAGCTATCAAGAATGTACAGTTAAGAAATGTAACAATGGTTATGTAAAAATAACGTAGTTAAAGTGAGATAAAAAAGTGGTAGAAGATTAAATGTGATATGTGTATCAAGCGTTCTCAAGTTTAACACAACAACGGTTTGAATGACGTGAAAAGATTTCAACCTGGAAAATCAGTTCATGTATCCAAAAGTAAAGTTGAAAAGCATATACCATAAATCATGTTGTTTCATATAACCACTGCGTTTATACCGAAACCGTAAAATATTTAAACTTATCATAAGCAAATGTAAAGTTGTTGAAGTTACAGGATAGCTGCCACGTCACAAAAATCCATATATGCAGTGTAACGAGATACAGAGAGGTGGAATTTACCATCATTTTAAAACTATTAAAAATAGCTGCATGGTTATTTATTCAGGCATCACTGACAAAGGCAGGGACATTTTCCAGCAGGTACAAGAAAATTAGTGTACCTGAATGTTAAACGTAGAACCGTAATTTTTACGTGATGAAAAAAATTACAAAAAAAATTTATGTTAATACTAAATGAAATATGCTGAGCGGTAGTGGACTTGGATGATTTCTAAAACAGCTTAGGCCAGACAAGAAGGATCTAGCTATTCTG